CAGGGTAAGGGTGGTTTAGTGCTCTGAGGACTCAGAGACTCAGGGCAAGGGTGGCTCAGTGCTCTGGGAACTCAGGGCAAGAGCAGCTCCATGCTCAGGGGACTCAAGGTAAGGGTAGTTCAGTGTTCTAGGGACTCAGGGACTCAGGACAAGGTCAGCTTGATGTACTAGGGACTCAGGGACTCAGGGTAAATGTGGCTTGATATTCTGGGGACTCAGGGCAAGTGCAGTTCAATGTTCTCGGGACTCAGGGCAAGGGTGACTGGTGCTCAATGTTCTGGGGACTCAGGGACTCAAGGCAAAGGTGGTTCAGTGCTCTTTGGACTCAGGGACTCAGGGCAATGTTGGCTTGGTGCTCTGGGGACTCAGGACAAGGATGGCTGGGTGCTCTGGGGGCTGTAAAGTTGCTCAATGGGTTCTCAATTCCATCTGGCAAAGTGACCACACTGAAGGACATCACCAAAGGCTTAACTCAAATGGGCATTGGAAGCACAGGTTCAGCCAGGACAGGGGACAAATGTCAGTGGCCCCTGAGAGAACTGGCCACCCTCAGCACCTCCCCATGCCCATGCACACCTGCTGGGGCTGGGGTGGTTGCCACCACTCCCTCTGTCATGCTCAAAGGAGTCACAAAGCCCACTCAGAGCCTGGAAGTCACATCCTCAGCAAGCCTGGCCCAGGGCAGGAACACCCTAGGGCTGTGAGTGTGCTGTGGGGGTCTCAGGGTCTCAGCCAGGAGGTGGGAACCCCACAGTATCCTCCTCTCAGTCAATGTTAACCCTGCTGCTGCTGGTCTGGCTTAACCCTGGAAAGGGCCGAAAAGCAGCAAGTGCAACGTTATCAACTCAAGAAAAGATTTCAAAGAAAAACCTAAATCCATAAAGCTGACAAAAGTCAATGTAAAGTCACAAACACCCAAAGATGGTGGCCATCCAGGGGCCAAGCACGGCGCTGCCCTGAGCACAGTCCAGCAGGTGTGTCACTACTTCTACCTACTAGTTCTACTTTTGAGACTCTACCCAAGGAAATGACCCAAAAGTCAGCTTGTTCCAAGACATTTCCCTGGCACAGCCACCAATAACAGTGAGAAGTAGGGCACAATCCACACCCGACAGCAAGAAAATGGCCCAGTAAGCCATGGAGCACCAAACCCGGGCAAAGCCCTACTGGAGAAGACTAAAAATGCCATTTATATGGACGCTTCACCATCCTCAGGAATATGAGAAGAAATGAGAACCGAAATCCTGCCCTGCACATGAGCTGCCAGACTCCCAGGTGTGTGCTCAAGCTGCCTCCCTCACACACCATGTTCCTGCTTTGTCAAAACCAAAACGGAAGATGTGCCCACCAGTTGCCCATCCTGGGCGGGTGATGCTTGGGAGCTGCAGACCTGGGAGGGGAGTCGACATGGACAGGAGCGAAATCAGCATCCTTCAAGGAGCTTCTCTAGGTCCCAGGACTCGGGACAAAGGTGGCTGGATGCTCTGGGAGCTTAGGGACTCAGGGACTCAGGACCAGGATGGCTCAATGTTCAAGGGACTCAGGAAATGGATAGCTCGATGCTCTGGGGCCCAGGGACTCAGGACAAAGGTGGCTCAATGCTCAGGGGACTCAGAGACTCAAGGGACTCAGGACAAGGGTGGCTTGATGCTCTGGGGACTCAGGAACTCAGGGCAAGGGACTCAGGGGACTCAGGGACTCGGGACAAGTGATTTGATGCTCTGGAGCCCAGGGACTCAGGGAAAGGGTAGCTTGGTACTCTGGGGACTCAGGGTAAGAGCAGCTCAATGCTCAGGGGATTCAGAGTAAGGATAGCTTGGTGCTCTGTGGACTCAGGGCAAGGGCAGCTCGATGCTCTGGGGACTCAGGGATTCACTGTCAGGCTGGCTCAGTGCTCTGGGGACTCAGGGCGAGGGTGGCTCGGTGCTCTGGGGACTCAGAGCAAGGGTGGCCGGGTGCCTTGGGGACTCAGGGGCTAAGGGTAAGGGTGGCTTGGTGCTCTAGGGACTCAGGGAAAGGGTGGCTTGGTGATCTGGGGACTCAGGGCAAGGGCAGCTTGATGTTCAGGGTACTCAGGGCAAGGATGTCTCAATGCTCTGGAGGCCAGGGACTCAGGACATGGGTGGCTCAATGTTCTGGGGACCCAGGGACTCAAGGACTCAGGGACTCAGGACAAAGGTGGCTTGATGCTCTGGGGACCCAGGGACTCAGGACAAGGGTGGCTTGATGCTCTGGGGATCCAGGGACTCAGGTGACTTGGGGACTCAAGGACTCAGGGACTCAGGACAAAGGCAGTTTGATGCCCCACAGAAAGAGCCCACATGGCCCGCAGGGGTGAGGACACAGCAGGACGGGACGTGAGCATAATGTGAGTCTCTTCAGAACCTCAGGGCTGCCATAGGGTTGGGACTTCAGAGGCATACAGAGCAGGTCTTCCTCACACCACCTCCACCTACCTCTCATAGCAGCCACCCAGCCCCAGCTCTGACTCGTAAGAGTAGAAGGAAATTCCTCCGTGGAGCAGTGGGCAGCTCTGGCAGGATACAATCATCACTTTCTCCTTAAGTACTTCCAGAGGTCTGGCGTGCCCAAGGCCATGGGCAGTGCAGAAGACCCAGAAGTCTCAGTCTTGTGCAGCGGGGAGGGTGTGTGGGTTGGACCAGGACGGTTGGCGCCATGGGCTCCCCAAGTTCCTCCTGTTGGCTGAGGTTGGGTCAGCAGACCGCTGACCCTAATCTCCCACCAGCAGAGATGTGATCCTGCTGGGTCGGCTCCGGGCTGGTGGCAGACCAGCCAGCTCACCCCACGGACATGTATGTAAGTGGGAGAGTTCTACCTGCCCAGAAGACACTGCTGCCGTCCCACCTTCGTGCCACACACAAGGACCCGACACTCATGGTGGGTGAGCCACGCTGAACAAACAAACCCCTTTCCTCCAGCTCTGTCAAAATTCCAGCGTTTTCTTCATGAGACAAAAATCCCAGAGGCAAACCCCAAATCACTAAGCAGGAAGTCCCACTTTTCTAAAGGGATTTGTCCACATGTTCCAGATCCAGTGCTTGCCATGAACAAAACTTATTTATGTGGGGAAAAAAACTAAAGAAGACACAGCTCTTCACTCCAAACTGAGAAGCATGCAGATATCAAAATAGTGTTTTAGCAATGAACCACAAAAGTGGCAGTCTTTTGGTAACAAAACCTCTCACTAATAGGAAACTCCAAATTGAGGCAAAACTACACAACTACTTTTTCCTACATTAAAAAAAGAAAATTATATTTGTGTTTTTCGTAAAAGCTAAATGGAAATCAATTTGAGATAAGAGAATTAAGGTTTAGAAATTTCACAAGATGCTCCTACACTCTATTAACCAATGGCAAATTTAGACTTTTTAAAATAAAATTTAGATAGGCAACAAGTATTTTGAAACTCCAAGTAAATCTCCTTATCAAAAGGCATGCATAACTTTAAAAGTAGGCACTAAAATACAGAAACCAAGTGCTTTAAAATATGTCACGTAGGAAATTCCAATGCAAACGTGATCATAGCACATCAGAGCAATGGCTTCCCCTGCCACCCCGCTCCTGTCTGGGACAGGCATGTCCCGAGAGCTCAGGCACCTGCTTACCTCTCCCGAGAGCTCAGGCACCTGCTCAAGGTCACAAGGATGTAACCAGCCAGATACCACAGGGAAAGTCTACATAACTGACAACTCCAATCCTCTAACAAGTAGCATTAAGCCAAGAGAGGACATTCAGAGAATGAATGATGTTTGGGGGGCCCCATCCCACATGCAGCGCATGAGCCTTGCCCCAGCTCTGACATTCACACACTGACAGCACAAACGCACATGGCACAGTCCAGGACACCAGGCCCAACCTGGGCATCAGTGACACCAAGGACATGTGTTGGGTGCCTGATGTGTGTCAGCCACATGGCAAAGCACTTGAGGGTGGCACTAAATGCCTGAGAGGTGCTTCAAGGTACTCCAGAAAAAACAACAAGGGAGATAAATAAAACAAGAGGGGAGACCACCAGGAATTATTATAGCTGGGTGATGGGGACATTTACTCTAATTATACATACACTTGAAACTTTCAAAATAAGTTAGAACTGGGATCTCATGATGTTGCCCAGGTTGGTCTCAAACTTCTGGTCTCAAGTGACCCTCCTGCCCTGGCCTCCAAAAGTGCTGAGATTACAGGTATGAGCCACTGTGTCTAGCCCCAAAATACATTTTTAAAAACATAATTGGGTTATAAGAGAACAACATAATTTTCCCCGAAATTGGGGAAATGTGTAATCAAACAATGCAAACACTGTCAGAGTATCTGACCTAGTACCCATCTGGCAGCCCTGTCCCCACTGAATCTGTCCAAGTCGGTGGCGGGGTGCCTCATCCTCCATCAGGTGAGGCCGTTATTCAGGGGTGGCCCTCCCCAAGGGCTACAGTGAGCCTGGATCTCAGGGGTCTGACTGTGGGTAACAAGTCCATCTCCACATCTCACCATGGCCCCTGCGGCACCTTGGGGCACCCTTGGCCTTGGTGGCGCTACCTTAGTACAAGGAGAGTCCAACCCACCGCTTCACCATGGCACCAGGTATGTTACAACCCCACAGGTCACTGCAGTACAAATCAAGTGTTTCCAAATAGGGATGGTTACATTGCACCTGCTGCTATCCTTCTTTCTCCAGTGACCTCACTGGAAGCAATAAAGCTCTGGTCCGAAAGGGGCTGGGTCTCACTGGCTACTGAGGGAGAGAGAAGCCCAAGATCCAGGTCCGATCTGGCAGGATAGGAGGGCACAGGTACAAGGAGCAAGGTAGGCAGGAGTGTCTGGGGAAGGCCCCACATCCTGCTGCAGACAGGGAGGCAGGAGCGGCTGCCATACTTCAGTTGCCCACTCAGACGCCCTTGGCTCCACCTCCACCATCTCACCCAAGAGAGCCTGATCCTAGCCAAGCATGGTGACCCACACCTATACTCCCAGCTACAGGGGAGGCTGAGGCAGGAGGATCATTTGAGCCCAGGAGTTCAAGACTAGCCTGGGCAGCACAGCAAGACCTCATCTCTACAAAAATTAAAAAATTAGCTGGGCATGGTGGCATACCTGTAGTTCTAACTATTCAGGACGCTGAGGCAGGAGGATCACTTGAGCCCAGAAGATTGAAGCTGCAGGGAGCTATGATCCTGGCACTGCACTCCCGCATAGGCGGGGGGGAAAAGTGCCTAATCCCCTTATCACCCCCACCCCCGTCACCCTGTGTTATTTCTCTCCTAGGCAGCTGTAAGTTCACATCGCTGGGAGGGATACTCAAGGCACTTCTGTCAGTGTTCTCACGGCCCCTGCCCAGCACAGGCCCTGTGAGCCACTGTGTGCCCAGGCTAGGAGCCTCTGCCACAGGGGTGGGCAGTGTGCATGCTGGCAGGGTGCATTAGGCAACACTTTGGTTATGATGGCTGACTGCCACCTCAGCTGTCAAATTCAGCAGTGTCAAGGGTACGGCTGACGCTATGACAAGGGACAGCTGGTGATGCCCAGAGAAGCCTCAATAAGGACTGGGATGAGAAATGTGTGTGGAAGACCTGTCAAGAAATGACAGCTCCCACAGTATTGGGCTGAGTTGTGGGCCCAGAAGCCCTAACCCATGTTACCTGCACATGTGACCTAGGGTTGAATTGTGTGTCCTTAAGTCCTAACCTGTGTTAACTGTACATGTAACCTTAGGGGCTGAATTGTGTATCCTGAAGTCCTAACCCATGTTACCCGCGCATGTGACTTAGGTTAAATTGTGTGTCCTGAAGTCCTAAACTGTGCCACCTGCACATGTGACCTTAGGGGCCGGCTTGTGTTGTGAAGTCCTAACCCGTGTTACCTACACATGTGACCTTAGAGGCTGAGATGTGTGTCCCGAAGTCTTAACACATGTTACCTGCACATGTGACCTAGGGCTGAATTGTGTGTCCTGAAATCTTAACCCACATTACCTGCACATGTGACATAGGGTTAAATTGTGTGTCCTGAAGTCCTAACCCATGTATCTGCATATGTGACCTAGGGTTGGATTGTGCATCCTGAGGTCCTAACCCATGTTACCTGAACATGTGATCTTAGGGACTGAATTGTGTCCCCTGAATTCCTAACCCATGTAACCTGCACATGTGACCTAAAGTTGATTTGTGCATCCTGAAGTCCTAACCCATGTTACCTGCACATGTGACCTTAGATTTGAATTGTGTATCTTGAAATCCTAACCCATGTTATCTGCACAAGTGACCTAGGGCTGAGTTGTGTGTCCTGTGGCCCTCACCTGTGTTACCTGCACAAGTGACCTTAGCTGTCCCCTGTCATAGCGTCAGCCGTATCCTTGACGCTGCTGAGTTTGACAGCTGAGGCGGCAGTCAGCCATCATAACCTTAGGAGCTGAATTGTGTTCCCTGAAGTCCTAATCCATGTCACCTTAGGGGCTGAGTTGTGTGTTCTGAAGTCTTCGCCCGTGTTACTTGCACATGTGACCTTAGGTTTGAATTGTGTGTCCTGAAGTCCGAACCCATGTAACCTGTACATGTGACCTAGAGTTGAATTGTGTATCCTGAAGTCCTAACCTGTGTTACCTGCACATGTGACTTTAGGGCTTAATTGTGTCGCCCAAAGTCCTAACCCATGTTACCTGCACATGTGACCTTAGGGACTGAGTTGTGTCTCCTGAAGTCCTAACCTGTGTTACCCACACATGTGACCTTAGGGACTGAGTTGTGTCCTGAAGTTCTAATCCACAGTACCTGCTCATGTGATCTTATTTGGAAACAGGGCCTTAACAGATATAACCAAGTGAAGATGAACTCTTGATGGATCATGGTGGGCCCTCAACCAACAGGACAAGTATGCGTTGAAAAATTAAAAGGAAAAAATTTGAATGCAGACACACACATAGGCAGAGGCTGGAGGGCGGCAGAGGCTGGAGGGCGGCAGAGGCTGGAGGCAGAGGCTGGAGGGAGGCTGAGGCTGGAGGGAGGGAGAGGCTAGAGGGAGGGAGAGGCTGGAGGGAGGGAGAGGTTGGAGGGAAAGAGAGGCTGGTGAGAAGCAGAGGCTGGAGGGAGGGAGTGGATGGATGCAGAGGCTGACATGTCCATAAGTCAAGGGATGCAGGAATTGCCAAATGCCTAAAGCTGGAGAGGCAGGAGGACTCTTCCATAGAGCAGTGGTAGGCTGTGTGGCTCTGTCACACCTTGATGCTGGACTTCAGCCTCCAGACTGCAAACGAATAAACCTTGGCTGTTTTTAGCCAAGAACCCAGAACCCCTTGGCTGCACCCGAGTCCAGTCATGATCCCCACCAGATGGACTGCTTGAGAGGAAGGCAGCCATGGCCTTGGAAAGAGGCAGCACAGGCCACACCACAGGTAGAGCCCCTGGGGGTGGGCCAGGCCAGCAGCAGGGATGGCTCTGGCCATCTCACAGGAAAAGGCTGCACCCTACCAGAAGTGTGTTAGTTTCAGCATTATCAAGAAAAACACAACCACGACATCAAACTCATGATTCATGCATACTCTTCCTTCTTACAGCAAAGCAAAAGTCAGTTTAAGTAAAAATGAGACCATATAAATCAGCAAACGCCAAGAGTGCACAGGTAGAGCATAACACCCACCCATGGGCTCTCCCAGGCACATCCTGAGTCCCAGCCATCCCCACCCAGAGCTAAGGGGTGCTTCCAGTACCACCCTTCCCCACCCCACCTTCAGCACACCTGGAGCACGTCTGCAAGTGCTCATGGCTCTGCTCCAGGTGAGGGCCTTGCCTCAGACACTCAAAACATAACATGTTGGAACCTTTCAACCTGACTTCTCCTGAGACCTTCCCACACTGAAAAAAGCAGAAACAACAATGACCAAGAGGCCAGAGCAGCAGGAGAGAAGGTTTTAACAGGTCACTTTACAACCCCTCAAATGTTACGGCATCAGTCAGTCAAATTCCGTGAGCACCTGTGAAAGTTACATAACTGAAAGATGCCAGAGTGAGTGTCCCCTCTTGACACCTTTCTCTTTCTGCCAACACATGGGAAAAACAGTAGGGACAGTCTAAACAAACCCAGACAACTATGCTGTTCAGCTGCCCAATGGATCGGTCATGGGACACGTGTTCTACCGCCCCAGTCAAGTGGTGTCTGCTAATGACCTCTGAGAAGTTATTCAAAACACCCTGACATTAAAGAACAAAAGTCTTCATACAACTACAATAAAAGCAATGAAATAGCGTAGGTGTGTTTCTACATAACCACAGACAATGGAAAACAATCATTTCCTCATGGAAAAACATCCAAATTTTCAATGCATGGAGTGACCCACGTAAAATCAAAAAGAGAAAGCAAAAGAGATGACAGATAGCAAACAGGCACACTTTTTAAAAATTTTTATTTTTTTGGCCAGGCTCGGTGACTCAGCCTGTAATCCCGTGCTTTGGGAGGCCGAGGTGAGTGGATTGCCTGAGCCCGCGGGTT